TAATTAAAAAAGTAAATGTGATGTTTATTCACAATATACGAAGTGTCAATATAATAAGTCAATGATTAATTATCGTACATTTTTTGCGTAAGAAATCTCTATACATACATATGCAAATTAGACAATAAAAAATTCATACTGAAGGACTCTGGGAAACATCGTTGGGTCTTTCTACACCATGCAATTAGGAACGTATTAAGCGTTATTAAACAAGATTCCCACATCAAATTGATCATGTTATCCTATTTGATTATCCTCAAAGACCCAACTTTTCTTTTTGTTTAATAATTAATCTGCAGATCGAGAGGAGATGGGAGGAGAGGAGATGAGGGAGCCGAATGTAGTTGCACCTTGAAAGGTACACATTACAAAAACGAAAAGACTGCCCACTGCCGCATTTGTCCCACAGACGTACGTATTAACTAAACCCATTGGAGAAGGTATTGCTTGTAAAGAATCCAAAGTATATAATTGAGTTGTTGCATAAAACCATGCAATCCAGCAGGGTGCCCACGTTTTTGGATATTTCTTCCATCTGCAATATTCTCTAAAATCCGCCAATCACTTCTTCTTTTGGCTTTTAATTATTTTTAACTTTTTCAATAAGAGAGATACTATGACAAAAAAGCAATCTTTAAACTGTAGACGTAAGAGTGAAAATTCGTATCGAACTGAACTACAAGTTTTTAACCAAAAACCACAATTGAAGTTTAATTTTCCTTTTAACAAAAGCCCTAGTATTAGGAAGATATAAATTCTACTTTCGTCATAAATAATTTATCATCTTTATTCAATTTTGGGCTCTCCATTTTTATGTTTAACAATGTTGCAATATAATGACAACATTTAACATCTGAAATATAAAAAATATATTTAATGATGATGAGTAATATAAATAACAAATAAGAAGGATTGCACCAAATAGGTGAAAAATTAGAGCTAGTTTGGGACTGTTGTGTTTTTTTTTCCAACATTACTTCTGTTTTGTTGTGAGAATAAAAAGTCATAAAAAATTATTAGGTTGCCTATTGTGTAGCTTCATAACTCCCCCTTCCGTTAATGTAAAATATATCGTTGTACTAAAAAAAATTATGGGGTGAAAAATAGTAGAAAGCAAGATGCAACTCTACCCATTCTTCTCAAAAAAAAAAAAAACAAACGTTTTTGAAAAACATTTGCTCAAACTTAAACCCATAATTTAAAAAAAATAAAAAAACATTTTTTTTTCATTTACTCAACACAATTTTAACCCCAACTTAAAAAAAAAAAAAAAAAAAACCCAACTCAGATAAAATTCTAGGTTTTTGATGAATATTGTTATGATTTATTCTTCTCACATAGAGGAATATATAAACTTATACAATCTCCTACAAACTAGGAAACAAGTATCCCAAATCTACAAGGATACCAATTACATAACTTTATACTCAAAATAACTCTACATTCCTTATTCCCTAAGATTGCCTCGCACTGTCACACAACAAGTTCTTAATCAATATCATAGAAGATTAGGTGACTCTAATTACTCACCAAGATTCAAATTGCGACTGTCAAAGCAACCTACACCTTTTCTTGTTTAGAGCCATTGGAAGGGGCCATGCCACTATGATCCGAGCTAAGAAAACTCAATTACTATTAAAACCCATCATTAAATATTTAAGGTTACACTACAATTATCAAACTCTCAATCCAATACTACATAAATGATGAGGTTTTATTTAATGACACAAAACATTATTACTACTATAACAAAAATAGTGTGACTATATAAATATTATTATTACTTAATGACACAAAATTATTTTCTTATGCTTTGTACGTGAACGTATGTGTCTTATAAAGCAAGTGGTTATTTACTATAGTAGTAAAAAGGTATAAAGCGCATAATGATATAAGTTTTATCGTTGTCAACAACTAATCTAATATTTAATTTAATAAAATTTATCGTTTGATAAAAAAATAAAAAATAAAAAGGCAAAACTCATTGCCATTGGCATCGCAAGTTGTAATATGTTAGGGGGCCACCTTGGGCAGGTGATGACTCGACCAGTACCGACTGTACCTGCCAGTTCCCTTGTTTAATCAAGTGGTGGCCGTGCGGGGCGTGTGGGGGTGCGCACCTCACGTGAGGTGCACTCGTGTGGCAGAGGAGGTCACGTGAGGAGTACGGCTAAAGGACAGGGTTAGGTTGCGGAGGCGGGTGAGGGTTGGCACGTGAGAGAGTGTGGGTAACAGTGTGGTCCTACGTGTACGTGTTTGTTAGCCAGCTGTTTCCCGCGTAACGAAATTTGCAAGTTGGTTTAAGTTAGAGAAGTGTCGAAGACTCGAAGGTAGGGGACGACTCACTAACTCGCCTCCCTCCCTCTTTTTCTTGCTTTCTGTTTTTGTTGCTTTTCTCTCTCTCTTCTTTTCCGGTTTTTCTGTTTCTCCTTTTCCGTTCCATCCTCACGCTCTTGTCTTGCTATACCTCACACGCACTTCAAAACTTATATTAGGCTTATTTTTTGCTACATATTCTAGAAAGTCGAAAGTCGAAAGTCGTTTCTACAAAACTCAAAATTCATTACATATTGATTTAGATATGTTAATTTCTTATGTGATTTTGACTTGTGGGTGTTAGGCTAATCGATTTCTTTTTTTATTTTTGTCATTCCTTCAATTTCTCTTAAACTTAATATTATCTGATTGTTGAATATTAACTTGTAATGTAGACTTAGAATCAAACTTATTGCACATGCATCATAGTCTTGTTGGGTGTTGAGTCCCACTTATGTTTTAAAAGTCAACCCATAAGTTTCAGGGAGAAAATAGAGTCCACAAATTAAAATAGAACAAATTTTGAGTTTCAATGAGCAAAGTAATGACTTTTTAGTTACATAAGCATAGTAAGATTAAAATAAAGTTCTAAGAGGCGTAACAATAAAATAAGCTTATAAAATATTGTGCAATCTGAACACGTGTCATGTTCAACTAATTTCACTCAATACTACCCAAATTCTCTCTTTATGTTTCATATGTATGTGATTTTAATTTTTGTATCTTTGTTATTTCAAGTCAACCGAACAAAAATTTGATGAGTTCAATTTTTAAATTTAAGGAATGTGATATCCACATGCCTCATTTTACTTCTCACACACTTTTCTCATTTTTGACCGTCGAATCGGATCAATTGAATAATATCAATAAATATAAATTATCAAAGATGTGTGAGAAGTAAAATGCCTAAATTTAACTCTTAATACATTGTATCGAGGGGTAGAAGAAAACACATACATTAGTTAGGTTTTCTTTTCAGTATTTAATGAGTGAATGCTAATTCAAATTTGCCAATATTAATTGTACGTACCTTATATAAATTTCAAATTTCCAACCAATTATACGATACATGTCACACCATACTAACTTCTTAAACCATTATTTGATGGATCCATTACATTCTATATATTAATAATTGGATTTGGTTTAAGTTGCAAAGATGTAACACGTTACTATAATTATTTCCTAACAAAGTCCAAACGGATGAAAGCAACCAGGAAGGAAGCAAAACAACAACCCCATTAAATTAAGCCGGTTAGACGGTGGAGTCGGTTATGGCAGTTCAGTTCCGGGGGAAGGTGTGGGGGGAGCGTGACCGGCACGTGGAGGTTGGAGAAGTAGGCAGTTGGGGAGATAGACACTGCCCACTGGAGGGTGGGCCTGGGATTTTACAGGCTGGACCTGACAGATTTTCAGTACGTTAATCACCCGATTCTACTGCTCATTTTTGTCGTTTTGTGAGCCAGCTCAGCAGTTCCGTGCGTCCGTTTCCCATTTCAATTAAAAAAATAATTTTCTCCCCCGCCCCAAAATGCTCGCCAGCCTGGCTATTGGTCAAAGTCATCCGTTTGCTTACGCTCCCCATCCATTTCCGACCCCACCTCCCAACTAAACCAAACCGTACACCTTCCTGATTAATTTTTAATTTAATCCAATTTCATTTTGCAAATATTTCAATTTTTATTTATTTTTTATTTTCTTGCGATAAAGACGATAAGAGCTATCTAACAAAGTTTACGAGTGCATTCGTTGTACTGTTACGTGATGTTTACGATATTAATTTAATAATTTTAAGATTATGAGATTATATTGTTGTCTCATGGTTGATTGCAACACTCACATATCTCTGTTATTTAAAATTCTACAGTTAATTTTAATTTAGTTATTAAAGAAAATAAGATTGGTTGTTGTAATATTTAACAAAATAAGTTGAACAAAAAAGAAATTGTAATATAATAACACCACATTTCTGGTCCTCGCCAAACTTCCAAAACGGTCGTTCAACATTTAAATGCCGCGGCTTTAGAGGTTATACATCCCAACTGCATACTGTTACACCTTTCACTTCTCACTTCCCATTTAAAGTTAAATGTTCATTTCAAAATTTATATTAAAAACAAAAAATAAAAGAAATTAAAAACTTAAAGTGAAATTATACCCCACATATTCCCAAAAAATACGAAATTATAGAAAATAAAATTTAAATTTGGATATAAAAATGGAAAAACGATCTTAAAATCAGCGAATACAACTCACGTTTAAAACATCAGTGAAATGGACGGTGATAGAAATATCCACTTGAGCGGTTGAGGGCTCCACCATTGATCATCATCTCGTAGCCTATCGTTCAAATTTGAGATGACTTTATAAGATTCTACTAAAAACAGTAGGGCAAAGAGTAGCCGAAGGTAAACTGTTGTTCACTTTTATTTTAATTTTCCATTTGTTTTTGTCACAAATAAAAAAATAAAAAGGCAAAACAGATGGACTGATTATATTTTCTGCGTGTAAGTTAGAGATAAAACAAGCGACGCGTGTTAGTTATACAGCTGTATGCTAGTAACCGCCTTTGCCTGGAAGAATCCCTACTCGCAACGGCTAAGACCGGTTACTCAGACCGGCTATCCCCGGTCACCTCTATCCCCTTCCTCGTATACTATATATACGCACCCACACCTGTATGACCCTCTTCTCTCTCAAAACACGGTGAGGCTACGCCTCAACCACCGCCGGCGCCGCTTCCTCCTCCTCCTTGAACCCTCCAGCCTCCCTCAAGAATCTAATTTATCTTTAATATTTATTTTTAATTTGAAGATTTTGGATTCATTTTCTATGGCTTCCACAAAGAAAGTGGTGGATCGGATTAAGGGTCCATGGAGCCCCGAGGAGGACGAAGCGTTACAGAATCTGGTCAAGACCTACGGCCCGAGAAACTGGTCGCTGATCAGCAAGTCGATTCCCGGTAGATCCGGCAAGTCTTGCCGTCTGCGGTGGTGCAACCAACTCTCTCCGGAGGTGGAGCACCGCCCCTTCAGTCCTGAAGAGGACGACACCATAATCCGAGCCCACGCCCGGTTCGGAAACAAGTGGGCTACTATCGCCCGGCTGCTCAACGGCCGGACCGATAACGCCATAAAGAACCACTGGAACTCCACGCTCAAGCGCAAAAGCTCCTCCATGTCGGAAGATTTGAGCTCCGACGTCCAGGCCCACCCGCCGCACAAACGATCCGCCAGCGTCGGCGCTGTTCCGGTTACGGGTCTCTATTTCAACCCCGGTAGCCCGTCCGGATCCGATTTGAGCGATTCGAGCTTGCCCGGCGGTGTGTCTCCGTCGTCTCAAGTTTTCACCCCCTTTGCGAGACCCATACCTCCTCCCATTGCTCTGCCGCCGATGGAGGCCGTGACATCAGCTGTAGCCGTTGATCCGCCCACCTCGCTCAGCCTCTCGCTTCCCGGATCCGAATCGTGTGATGGGTCGAGTCATATGGCGTCCGGATTCGGAACCAATCCGATTGTCGGCCCCGCCCAGATTGTACAGCAAGCGCCAGAGGTAACAGCTCCACCGCGGGCGGTTGGGTTGCCGCCACCGCCGCGTCAGAGCAACCAGAACGGCGAGATGGGGCACGATCAGCAGTTTTTCAGCTCGGAGTTCCTGGATGTGATGCAGGAGATGATCAGGAAGGAGGTGAGGAACTACATGGCGGGGATCGAGCAGAAGGGGCTGTGCATGCACACCGAAGCCATCCGAAACGCCGTCGTAAAGCGTATCGGGATTAGCAGAATCGAGTAGCGTCAGGAAGGAAGCAGATAGAATGACGTAGTAGTCCTAGTGATGACGATCATTAAGATGATCGAGATGATGAGTCCGAATCCAAAAGAAAAAGATTGAACTCTGTTATTAAATTTCCGTTTTATTTTTTGGGTTTTTTTATATAATTAGTGAAAATAATTTTGGTAGTGTACAAAGGGACGAACTGCGGATGTTGATTAATGGAGGGCGGAAATGGTTAGATGGAAATTTCAAATTTTACCAATCTCAAGAACTAATTTGTTTTTAAATATATTAATCAGTTTTAGAAAATCAATTGTTTTCAAATATATTAATCAGGTTTAGAAAATGAATTATAAAAGCCTTTATAGCTAAAATGGTTCTTTAATTGTCATAATTTTTTATTTTAGTCAAGACATTTGAAATTAAGGAAAGTGATTCTGGATTTGGTAATACTTGAGAGATTAAATTTTAAAAATTAAAGGATATGAAAGTTAATGATTAGTTAATTACTTAAACGTTAATTGATTTATTATTTAAGTATTAATAAACATATTCATTTTTATTGGTGATATATCATTTAGTTTATAAATTTTGTCTTTTAATTTAGTCTTTTTACCATTGTTTTTCTGAGCTTGTTTAGCAACAATTATTTTCGTCATTATCAAAGACCAGTTGTATAGATGTTAATTCTTAGAGTATCTTCAAAGGAGATGTCAAAATGTACATATCAGTTATAACAGTAAAAAAAGACCACTAATATTCTGCAACTGAAGTGCTAAATCCTACGTGGCGATGACATAGATCGGCAACAAAAGAGGTTGCTGTCAAATTTGACACCAAAGGTCCTGACGAAAATGCGGTCAAATGGATCAAACAGGTACCCAAATCCTAAGTGTTCAAAAATTTTCAACAATTATTTTCGTCATTAACAACATTAAATAAGGATAAAGTGACAAAGATAATTGATGGTGAATAAACTCAAAGACCAATTCTATAGTTGTTAATTTTTAGAACATCTTCAAAGGAGATGTTAAAATGTCCACATAAGTTATAACAGTAAAAAAATACCACAATAATATTCTCCAATCAATATGTCAAATCTTATGTGGCGCTGACATGGATTGACAGCAAGGGGACTACTGTCAAATTTGACAGCAGCTTCAAATATTTTATTATTATTTTTATCTCCTACCCCTCTCACTCTTTCCCTAAGCCGTCATCTACCACGACGTCCTTTCCTCTTCGACAAGCTCGCTGAGCTCTGCACGTCGCTATTCTGCTACCTCTACGCCGCAGCACCACCACCTCCTCTTTTTCCCTCCCGCTTCAACTTGCCACCCGATTCCCACAACTCGCTCGAGTCGCTGAGCCAACTCACCTTCGCCGTATCATCGCCACCTTTTTTGTTGTTGTTTTGATTGTCTTTGTCATCATCATTTGCTACTTTACCGGATTTTGTCTTCGTCGTCACCGTCTGCGACTTTAACAGAGCAATCGCGATTCGGTTCGGATTGGATTTTGGCTCGAATTGGTTTAGCGTTGTTTTAGGTTGATGATTTTGTGGATATGTGGATTGTGTTCTAGTGTAAAAAAATAATATTTAATTTGACATATCGGGTGGAAGGCAAAAATCTTAGAAGATGTCAAAATGCCAATAGGCTGTCAAATTCAAATTTTATGTTTAAAATTTGACATCTCCTTTGGAGATGCTTTTAGAAAACAAAGTGAAGAGCTATGTCAGTTTTTTATTATTTTGAAAAGAAAACTAATATAATAAAATGAGTAAAAATTAAAGTTAGTTGATAATTTACATTAATTTAGAATAGAACATCGTTAGTAAAAAACAAAATATTAAGTTTTAATAGAATATTGCTCGTGAAAAATGAAAAGTTGGGTAACATTATTGGATGGAGAGGGATGGAAGAAAATTCGAAGTGTTGTGTTTGATTGAGGTGCAGATTAAGACCCAGATAGAGTTTGTGGAATTGAAATGGTGACGGCAGGGTTAAATAAACGCAGTTGTCAACGCTTAATTAGGGGGTGGCCCCGAGTCGGGTCATCATGTTTTCAATCTCGTTCACGTGATTTGTACCTCTATAATCTTTGGGGAAAGGCTTTGCATCTACAATTTTGTCACCTTTGGCACTACATTTTGTCACGAGATCATTTGGTTCACGGTTATTTGGGTATGAAGTTCATGTTTATTTTATGGGAACTCAAATTGCACGACGAACTAGCGTATGACGTTTTACAACATCGGCAAAAAGCAATGATCATGTGTATGTATTTTGTGCGAGTTCGATTCTCACCGATCCCCATTTTCTTACCATCAAAATAAAAAATTTCATTTTCGATGTCATCTATCTAGAAGCCATTCGTAGAGGAAAGGAGATTAGTGTGTTAGAGATTAGATATATTGGTGAAATGTGGCTCATGTAGATGGTCTTAGATAAGTTTTATTTAGAAGTGGGGATGGCCAGTCTCTTTCAACTAGTCAAATATTCAACACTTTGACTCATCGTAGGTTTAGCACCTTTGTCTTCCTCCAAACTCTGAAGAGCCGCTGTCATTAGAATTTCAATTCTACCCTACTCTCCCACCTTGCTCTCTGCCTTTTCAAACGAGCTGCATCGGTCCAATATTTTAGTGGATAAGGTATTGAATTTTTATCTATGCGACAGGAGTTTGAAACTCACTATTCTTAAAATTATTGTAATAATTTCAAACTCTTTCATCTTCCTTAATAATAGAAATTAAAAAAAAAAAAAAAAAAGACGACCTATTCATCTTCTTCTGTGTCTCCCCTCCACCTTCTGATGATTGAAAACCTTCTGCCGGGCTCTTTCCGATGAGCATTTCCAACACAACAATCCCGTAGCTGTAACACTTTGTAAGTGATGGGTAGGTTGTGAACCCACTCTGGTTCCATATAACCTCTGGTTTCTCGTATCCTTGAAAATTTTGAGTCTCTAAGCTCACTTCGGTTTAACAGGTTGGACAAGCCAAAATCCGCCACTTTCGGGTTGTAATTCGAGTCCAAGAATATGTTTTGAGGCTTCACATCGCAATGTAAAACCCATTGGAAGCACTCATCATGTAAATAAGCCAAGCCTATTGCAGTGCTTACAGAAATTTCAAACCTTTGCTTCCAACCAAGCGCATTGGAAGATAACTTCTCGGCCAAGGAATCAAGATCTCATACACCAAAAGCCTATGGTTGTCTTCCACACAATACCCCCACATTTCAATCAAGTTCATTTGGTAAAGCTTCCCAATGAGGCTCACTTCTGCTAAAAACTCTGCTTCCCCTTGGTTTGCAGCATTCAATTGCTTGATCGCCGCAACACGCTGGTCAGACAATGTGCCCTTGTAGACAACTCCTCCCCACCTCTCCCAATCTCTCCTTTGAAACCTCGTGTCGCCTTTTTCAGCTCGGAGTAACTAAACCTTCTGAATCCGGTTACAGCATAAAGGTAACCTTGTGAAACTATATCCGGCTCTTCTCTCGTTTTGCTGCTTCGCATCACAAATAACCACACAATAAAGATGCAAAGAATTTCAAGACCCCTCAATGCAGAAGAAGGGTGTCGGTTGGGGAATCAAAGCTCTGCCACAAAACGACATAATCGTCGGAGTTTCGTAAAACCAGATTGCCGGAGCAGTGGAGGGTTAAGGGAGAGCCTTTGAGCGTTTTACGTTGACTGGACGGAGGAGATTGGCCTTCCAGACAACGGTAGGGTTTTGGTGGCTGTCGGAGGATGGTGAAGGCTCGGAGAACCAAACGGCAAAGCAATATGAATTGTTGCCAACTTGGTGAAAGACGGCGGTGAAAACTCCATCAGGTGAAATTAGAACATCTTCTGGTTTCTCGACAGAGAGGAAGGAGGCTCTACTCAGAGTGTCGGAGGTTGAAGACGAAGTTGTAGAGTTAATGGCGAGAGAGAGAAGAAAAATGAGAAACATAGTAGCCTTTTGAGATGAGAGTGGGGGATTGGCTGCAGAGAGCTGAACTAAATTAAGAGAACATGGTCATAAACTATAGTATGTACGTATGTAGTTGTAGGATACTAGGATCACACCCACATAGATTTTTACTTTCAATCGATCTCGATCTTGACCGTTTGAGAGTTCACAACAGGCAAGACAGTCGTACAACTCAAGCTACACGGCTTCGAATTGGACGATGGGAGGCCAAAGACCCATTACCCAATTAATGTTCCACATCTTAGGGTTCGAGTAGCAGCTTGTGGCCGTCACAATCTCACAAGGCGTGAAATGATCAAAAGGGCAACGAGAGGTGCCTGTCACAAAAGAAAAGAATATGACGGCAAAATTTGACGAAATGATCCGCATAAACCATTTGTGTGAGTGCAGGTGACGGGGTTGAATGATAAAGTTCCTCAATTATTTGATGTGTGGAATGAAATAGTTCCTCAACTATTTGATGTGTGAAAAGATAATTTCCCACCCTTCGTTATCATGGAGGTGCTAGAACATTAGACATACCCAAATCGATCAGCACGGTTGCATAATTTGACAAGATCGCCGATGTATCGAATCTCCCGGGCAAGAAACTGATTGTTTGTCCCTGCCCCAAATTTGCAAACCAATTTTGTTACTAGATTCATCACAAAAGATACAACCTCAACCGCGTAGAACCGCAGACTTTTACAAGGCATCGGGGCATGGACTAACTAGATATTTTACATATGGTAAATTACCAGATTTTTGAAGTATCAGTTACAGGAACAAAAAGGATTATAATATGTGCACCACGAGCACATTCAGTTTCAACGGCTTTTCGAGCTGATGAAATATTCAAAATGGTGCCGAGCCATCATGAACAGAAGTTCTTTTGCGGTATTATGTACAAAAATGTAGCAAGTGTGCCCGCGCTTAGACACCTGGTTCGTTGGTGCTGGTTTCAATATCGTCTGGTACATGATAGGTAGAGAGGAAAAATGCACTCTGGTTCTTCTGTAGGAACCTTCATGACAAGATGCATGATCAATCAGCAGGAGCGAAAATGATGTCGAAAAAGAAGAAACTCGTGGGATTAAGCTCATTTTTGCTATTGCTGGTTTGGTATTGCTGTGCTTTGAAAAAAAGCTGCTTCTGCTATGATGTGAGAATAAGCTCATTTTGGTGCTTCATGTTTTCAACTTTTTTTCACCAAAAAACTCTGAAAATAAGCTGTTTTTAAGTGTTTACCAAACACCTTTTTGAGCTTAGCTTTTTTTGATACCCACTTTTTATAAAAGCACCTCAATACCAAATCAGTCCTAAGAAAACCTGCCTACTATTATGAAAAGATAAAATTTCGGATATTTATGTAGGAGAGCAAGTAGAAGTACGTACTTGAGAAAGTCGACTAATTTTTTCTGCAACACTTTCAGTGTCTCCTCTTCAATGTTAGCATCCATCAATAACTCGGGTAGTTTAACTGCAAAATATCAAAAAATTACATCTCAAGTCCAGATCCTATGATGATTAGCTCTTAATATAACAAAAGCTTCAATGTATACTACTATAATTACAAAAGCATGAGAAACCACAAAATCAACAGCATGCCCAAGGATAATATGCATTTTTCGATACAATTCTATTTAGAAATACACCATTTGGTTACGTAGGAAAGTACGCTCATACCAAAGAGACGTAATAGATGCTCAGCACCATAGACAGATGAAGGAGAGACATCATCTGTGATTGCTTTCTCATACTGCTGACGTTCATTTTTGTACAACAGCATCGCCGGCAGTGCTTTATCAAAGTAACAACACAGTCCTTTCAGAATTTCTTCAATAGATTGAGCTTTCTTCCTGGATTCACAATAAGAATGGTCCATCAGCTAAAGCAAGTGCATATCTGCAAACCTGATTCTAGAAAATGCAGAAGTTTTAATTTATGGATGTTTTAGGTCCAAATTAATTAAATTAGACCCCCAAATTCCAGTTGATGACCGGTAGAATTTAGAGAAGCGGCATTGGTAATCCCTTCCATGTCCTTACTCTTGTGAGAATAAAATTTTAATTTACTCTCTCAATAAAAAAAATTCAAAATGGAACCCGAGAAAAGAATTTAAAAAAAATAGGATGCCAAGAGATGGAAGAAGGAAACTTACGTACTGTCCTTCTTTGATCTGTAGTCAAGATACTTCTTGAATATGTCATTCACATTTGGAGTACGTGGAAGTTTAACAAGCTGAAATAAAATATTTATATCATCAACTCAGATTTCATCACGAATGAATCAAAGGTATAAATTCAAGTTTGAGTAATGAATCCACAATACCTTGCCCAGATCAGTAACGAATTCGCAATCATCAACTAGTTGTTTCTTTAGTGGTTGTGGCATTTGAAGCAAAAGATCTTCCATCGGTATGGCATCTTTGTCCTAAAATGAAGACAAAAGAACTCAAAAACTTAAAAAGTTCATGCTGGCTTCTAATTTAAATACAATCTAAGGATTGATTACGTAACAAATGAATAGCGCATACCTTATTAACAGAGTCATTCTTTCGCTTCTTCCCTCTTGACGCTGCACATAATACCAACAATAAGAACAATGCACATTATATACACATTCAAATTGCTAGAGAAGTTAATAAAAGAGGACATGTTTTCAAACCTAATTCAAGAACCATATTCAAATTATAATCATGAACGAAGAAAGCATGTTGTTAAACTCGTTAACTACATTGTTACTTTTGAAGTTTCCATAACCCTTATATTGACTCCTGCAACGACTTTCTTTCCACCTCTTCATAGGGTAACACTTATGTTCATGTGACATGCCAGAACTTACACACCCTACATCTAACATACAAGAATAAATCTGAATATCAGGATTGGGCAACAACAAAAGAAAAGTTAAATATTATAAAGCCAACCATGATAACTTTTTGGTTTAGTCTGCGACATGTGTTTTAGCTTCGCGTTCTTGTCTGTTCCCTGTTTCTGTTTGATGGCCTCTTGTTTCTTCCTATTCTCTTCAGTGTTTTTCATCAGACGATCCACCCCTACCCACTCATCCCAACTGTCAGAGGAAAATAAGAGAAAAAAAGTTCAATAAGATAAATGAAATCCAAAGTTTCGAGAGATAGTAACTATATGAGTAACCAATGAAAATCACAAAAAAGCTTAAGCATTAGCCTTCAATTCTGATAAACCTCCATCATCAGAATCTGCCGTAATCTAATAAGCATATCTTTCAATGACATTACACACACGATAATTATGGTGAAAAGACGACTTAAACTGCAGCGAGATGGCAAATGATAACTGAAAAATAAAAAACACACAAACTGAAGTAGAGCATGCTTCCAACGTCCACCATCTTGGTTCAACGAACATGAAACCAAAATTCGGAAACTGTAAGCAGGAAGGCGGGCTCACTTTTTGCTCCATCCCTGCAGGACAGAAGAATATACAATCAAGAGATGCTACAGCAACAATTATCCGATCCTACACGAACCGAGCAAATACAAGTCTATATCACCTACAAAATGCAACTACATTCAAATGGAGGAAATGTCGAAAGAAGACTAATCGAAATCCGAAGGCGTTTCACTTCCGGAAAAGACTTCAAAAAGTACAAAATTTGAGCTTACAAATGAAACGATCGCGCATTTAATACATGTTTGATCGAAGAAAATAAGAAATTAATTGAAAATTAGCGTTAATACTTACAAGGTAATGAACATAAAACTCCCATTCCATCTTGTATCGGATATTGGTGACCTTGCAATCAAAACGCACAGTATCAGTGATCAATCAGCAAAAAGTTGCAATTATTGTCACATTTAGGCAAACAAAACCCTAAAATATCATACAGAATTGCAATTCAAACGCCAGCAGGAAAGCGAGTACCTTGGCCGCGTACAGTCGATGGTTGTGAAAGGCGATGACCTTCTCGCCCTCGGCGAAGGGGCAGGAATCGGAGGAAGGGGATGAAGCGTCGTCGTTTTCGTCGTCGATCATGTCGGAATCGGTCTTGGTGGCGGAGCTGTCGGACTCGGTGGCGGACGAGTCAGTGTGAGTGGTATCACTCACAACACTCTTGGACTTGGAGCCTCTGCGCCTCATTTTTTTGATTTAGGGGCGCTGCTGCTGCTGCTTAATTACGATTAGTTATCAATCAATTAATATTAATCACTTGTCTTGGCGTTAATCCTTTGACTGTGAGGCCTTTATAGTTATGGCGGTTGTTCCTAGTTACAGATGCAGAGAGCACGAGAACGATGGAGTAACTGAAAAACTGGGGTTTTTACTGTTTGGTTTTGGGTTGTCGTTTGGTTTCATCCGTTTCCTGGTCCGATCAAACGACGTGGCTTTGTGGAATTTATACCGCGAACCGGCTAAAAAGCCCATCGCGTGAGCGCAGAGAAATTGTATTGGCTGGAAATTGTATTTTTTTTTGTAAGTTATTAATTTTTTAATATATATATTTTATTATTAGTACTATGACTCGTAAGTACCACTTTTTGTTCTGGTAATGCTGAAAAATTTCTTGTGAGCACTTGCAATGCGAGGTTGAAGTTAGAGGTGGCAAATCAAGATATTGAGTTGTTAATGGGACTCTTAAGACTCATTTAATTTGACATTAATGTAATATAGACGTGTGATTTGGTAGTAATAATGATGGTATAAGATGAAATCAAAATAAATAGATTTTAAGCTATGGGTGTGGTTCGATTCACTTGTGTGTGGGCTTTTCCTTTTTGTCAACCTCGCTGTAGCTGCCGGCCCAGTGGCAGTCCGCCCTCGCTCTTTCTTTTCCCCTTTTTTCCTTCTTTCCAGTTCCGTCTGCTTTCTTTTCCATCTGTTCGCCATCTCGATCGTCGCGGTCTTTCAAACCCAATTGTTGCCCATTTTTCATCTTTCTAAACCCCCGCATCAGATTCCCTTTCTCCCTCATTCCTTGTCGTCCATCCATTTCCATGTCTTTCATCAATCCTTGTCATTTCGATTCTTCCCTTTTCTCCACTCAATTTCCTATTTTGCTCTGACCTTCATCGTTTCTACCCCAATTCTGATCTGCATACACGTTTTTTCACCGTGCTTTGTTGCGGTGCTCTTTGAGGTGTGTAGAGCTCTGACTCCGGTGTTCACATCATCACTTTCCCTCTGTTTGCCTTTATTGGCTCCGTCACTGATGGGTTTCTTATTCATTGACTTCTTTCGTTCCATGGATGCGATCAGAGGGCTGTTCGTTGCAAGATGTGGGAATCTCTCTTTTCTTCACTTCTGGGGAGTTGATTTCTAGTAGCCGTTGGGAATGCTGTCTAGCGATGGTTGGGAGGTTCTGTTCTGGTGGCATGTTGGTAGCAGGAGGAGGCTAGGTTTTTTGTTTTGTTTTGTTTTGTTTTTGTTTTTGCGCTTCAAAGTGTGTCTTGCTTTGCCTTAGGGTCCATATATTTTGCTTTGTGTTAAACATTTAACTGGACATCATATGTATATTTGCTCTAGTATTGAACTTGGTTGGCTTTTGCCTTAGAATGTTATTTTCAGTTTACCAAAAAAATAAATAACGCGGAGTTTCCTATAAACCAATTAACAAGATAGGGCAGTAACACAATCTCATATAAGTCCTTGCAAAATTTCTCCGTTCATCAATGGGGAACACTTTTATCTTCACATCCTTACACACTTCCTGACATGTGGCGAATTTTCAAGCCAAATACGTGGAAAACACAAATTGGGTGATGTGGAGCATATGTGGTGTTAGGCTCATATATTGCCCAACCTACTTTGATACCATGAAAAAAGTTGGGTTCCACCATAAAATCAATTGGCAATATCGACAGTAGTCCAACTTCTTATAAACCTTTACAAGGTTTATCCTTTTACCGATTTAGGATACTTCTACCGTTACATCCTCACAATATGATCAAGTAACTAATAGTACGATACGTGATGTTGCAATTTCACTTAAATTATAACACGCAAATATAGTACACCATGTGGCATGTGTTAACAATAATAATGAAAATTTGTCCTTGTAAAAATCTATGCCCTACGGGGCAGAGGTTACATCCTTTGTCAAAGATCTAATTACAGCATTGGCTTGCTAATTTAGTATGGAAGAAACGAACTTAGTTGCCTATGGAGGCATGAAACGAGTTTATTGTCAATGTATAAGTTTCTATCTACATGTGATTGCATTGTTGGATTAGGACACTGCATGACGATAAATTTGCTCTATGTAGACTGTTCTCCTACTTGTGGGATTCAATACTTTACTAATTCATTCTAGATAAATTTTAGAACCATGCAGGCTGCTGGTGCCCATCCATTTGTTAGTAAACTTAATTTGGATAATGCATGCATTCTTCTCTTGCAAATAACGTATACAAACCATACAAATTTCATAATCGGTACTATTCATTTTCTTAATTTTTATTTGAAGATCACACCCTACAAAAATCTTTTCAATCGGAGATCACCAGTCATTCAAATGTGTAAAACAAATCGACGATATAGGTACTAAGTAACATATTCATAATAAACTGTTCATTTATTTGATACGTTTTGATGATTAAGTGATCTTCAATTTGAATGATTTTTTGTGGAATTGATCTTCAAATACAAATTAATAAATTAAACGATTTCGATTGTTGATTTTATTGGGCCAAGATATATTATTGGTACATGGAGGAATACGTGCATCCCACCAACGGGATGCAAGTATTGTCTCCTACCAACCCATAGATAAAGAAAGCGTGGAAAATTCTTCAATTTCCAAGCATGACTTCAAACATCAATGGATCTATTATGTTCTTACACGACTTTGACAAAACCTTGACATAGCTTCTGTGTCGGATACTTAATATTTGAGGAATCCTTCTCCAACATTCTGCGACAGAAAATATTTATTGAAAATCAAAGTGTATTTTGTGACCAACTCTGATCCCCCTCTAATTTCAAATGGCTACTATGTTTCTCATTTTTCTTCTCTCTAGCCATTAATTCTCCACCTTCGTCTTCAACCTTCGACACTATGATTAAAGTTTCCTCCCTCTCCATCGAGATACCAGAGGATGTTCTAATTTCACCTGATGGAGCTTTCACCGCCGGCTTTCACCAAGTTGGCAACAACTCATATTGCTTTGCCATTTGGTTCTCCGAGCCTTCACCCTCCGTCCGCCGACAAAATCGCACCGTTATCTGGATGGCCAATATCAACCATCCAGTCAACGGTAAACGTTCCAAGCTCCCCGTCCTCAAAACTGGGTATCTCAACGGATGCCGGAAAGTCCACAGTTTGGGCCACCACCACAACTTCACTCTCACCGGCTCACTTAACCCTCCACAGCTCCGGCAATCTGGTATTACTAAACTCCAATAATCATATTGCAGAGCTTTGATCCCCCAACTGACACCTTTTTCCACTCCAACCCTTCGCCAGACATGCAATGCTTGTATCCGCAAGAAGCCACAGCAACTTCTCCACGCGTTTCTATAAGCTTTTATTCTACGATGACAGCCTTCTCTTCTAGTTTTCGAGGGTTTTGAGATTTCCAGCGCCTATTGGCCCGACCCTTCTCGCGTGAGCTGGGACAATGCAAGGTCCACCCACAACAACACCTGAACGGCCATGCTGGATTCGTTAGGCAGCTTTGTGTCATCGGACAACTCGACTTTTGAGTCAACTGATTACGGTGTGAGGTTGCAGAGAAGATTGAGGATTGATATTGATGGCAATGTTCGATTGTATAGTAGGGAAAGGGCAGGAGAAAAATGGGTGGTTTCAAGGGAGGCCATTTCGGATCCATGCACGGTTCATGGGATTTGTCGGGCTAACACAGTGCAGCTACGCACAGTTTTGGTAGGAAATGCCCATGGGTGGTTTAAAGCGTGCTGGCTTCTTGTAATTTTCTTTCCATCATGTTTACTTGTGTTTTCAAACGATTAGGGTCAACTCAAACACATGTTATCTGAAAATGACAAGATTAACTTGTTTAACATGCATAAGTTCAAAATTTCCCATAAAGTTAATATTTAAGTAAAAAATTATAAAATAAGTTTAAACTTGTGGTTTCGCTTTCAATTTAAACAATTCATGTCGCATTTATGCGGGGTTGTACATAGGTTTACAACTTTACATGTTATAGGATTATGTAAACCATCGAAGACATGTCATTTTGGGGTTTGGCAGCTTGACTTAAAACAACAAGTACTTAAAAACTGTGTTAAACGAGTGACACAATTATGACACAACCCATGATTAGAACTATTCCAAACATGCTTATTTCGTGTCATTTTTCAATCGTGTTGGACACAAAATTGTCACTGTTATTCACTAATAAGGTGAAAGAACAATAGAAACAAGTTTTTAAGAAATTACAAAGAACTAGTTAGTATATGATCTAAACTATAATTAAGACAACCTCCTTCTTGAACCGCCGTCTCAGGATGGCATTAATATTGTCATGGCTGGTTGGCATGATCTAAACTTAATAACTCGTTGACCGAGTTACTTGCACGTCAAGAAACAATAAGATCATGTTCTTTGGCACTCACAACTCACAGGACTGTTATATGAACAGGTGTTTCTTAAGGTTTGGTTTCTTCATTTGACGGCCAAAAGCTCCATCCTGAATGAAGTAGAACCGCCCCACACTTTGTAGCTTCGGATAAAGTTTCCATAAACAATTGATCCCAAATGTCACGGAGGCATGCTTGTTGTTAGGAATCCAATTGGACCCGAACCATTTGCTATTTCACCTCCATGACAATGATGAAACTATGTCGTCTTTTAGGAGAATTTATATGTCAAGAATATACTACCACGTGGTATTCTGTATTCATAAAAAAAACAAAAAAAGATCTATGGATAAAAAGAATTTATATATTTTTATTTTATTAGTATGGGACATCATTGTGACAATGTACTCACGCTGTATATGTCCTCCGTTTTAAGATTATCCTACATCGATGGATGAAAGTCTAGTAATAGAAAACCAACTTATGTGCCTAGACATAGTCTAGGTATTACAAATAAAGCATACTTTTTTATTATTTTATGAATAATATTACATCATAGCTGCATTACATTACATACAAATAAAAGAAGCGGAACTTGTTTAGCTAGTGCTTTATTATAGGGCTAGACAACATGTTCTACATGTTTCATGAAAATACACCTTATTATAGGGATAAAAATATTTATCTTAAACATAATGAAAGAATCAATCACTAGTACGCAGCGGCGACAATGTCAAATGGCTGCTGCAATCAGTGTCCCTCACCGCTAGAGCTAGGACCAGACTTGTTCCCTCCTAGGGTTTCCGACTCGGTGAACGCATGGCCCTGTCCGTCGCTCGGACCATTCTTCATAGTTCCAATATACAACCCATC